GTGTCACCATTAAAGCTCAAATATTTGTTCAAAGGAGTGGCAGGAGGGTTATTTCACAAAGTATTGCAAGAGTCAGAGCTTCGAGTAGTTCGTTTTTTTTTAAATGTTAAATCACCTTGAGAAGTGATAAGTGAAAAGTAGCTTTTGAATAAGACATCGTCTTTAATCTAACACTAGATATCACCATTGAACTTTGTAATCAAATAAAATGTAAGACTTATTTAAAATACAACCCTAAAAATGTTCAAACTATATACTTTTAATTTTAAAAACTCCCTTCTTAAATCATCCGGTGATTTAGCGTAGGTTTGGGGGGGGGGGGTTATAACGTTAGAATTCGGGGGTCGATCCACACAGCGAACACTCTGTAAGTAAGTAGGTGTGTAGTTTTGAGCTAAAACAAAGAATATCATTTATAAATATGACTAAAAATTAAATTTCTTCATGTTGGCCAAATTTGTCTGTAAACGTTTATAATAATGGCTTTTCTCGTGACAAGTCCTTTCTTTTTGTCAGGTCTACATCTACAGACTGGTGGAAGACTTCACCACAGAAAAAAATAAGATATGCTTTGTGTTCTACTGTAACTTTTAATGTCTTGTAATATTCCATTCAAACCCAAATTTTCAAGTCTAGAAATCATTTTTGCTGTTTTTTGACTTTCCTATGTGGGGTGGGGGTAATGTCACCATCTTTATACAAAAGTTAATTAATTATAACGTATAAGAAACTAACGACACTGTTAACTCTTTAGGGAAGTTAGACGTTGTGAATAAGCATTGTGACGTCACAAATGGATTAGATTATCTTTTGGTGAAATAACTCAAAAATGCAGAACTTATGTAATATTAAAAACGAAATAGAAAGTGATTTAATTTTGTATATTAATTCAATATAAATTAATCAGAGTTATGATTAAAATTAACAGCAGGAATGAAAGTCACAGCTCTGTTAGGCTTTTTGTTGAATTTTCGCTTATTTTTCTTTATCTTTTTTTTTCTTCAAAATTATAAATTCTTTTGGGGTTTATTCAGGCACAGACATAGACATCGAATAGGCTATCTTTATATGATGTATATGATTAAAGACCACTTTCACAAAGTCACTTATATAACTATTCATTTATCATAATCCTGAAGAAATGACTTACGAATGTGAAGTAAGGTATATATATATACCTCATTATATTATGTATTTGATAACTTAAATCTGCTACAAATACGTTATAATCATTACATTATTGAAATAAGATTTGCCTTTATTAATAAGTAACTGCTGGTATAACAGGAAAAATATGATAAAAAAGTCCATTTAACAGTGTAAACATCGTATTCCTGTTTACTAGCCCCCCAGTGGCACAGCGGTATGTCTGTAGACTTATACTTCTAGAAACCGGGTTTCGATACCCATGATGTATAGAGCACAAATAGCCCTTTGTGTAGCTTTGTGATTAATAACAAACAAGAACTTGTTTGCTACATATGTGTGTGCGTGTGTGTGTAGATTATGGATATCACGGTTTTAATATGGGTTTTTTAAGTATGGTTTGCTTTAAAAATCTTTTTAGCACTCAGTTCAAGAAATGTGCAATGCTTATTAATTTAAATTTAATTAAACTGAAACTTTACCTGTATTAATTAGGTTTAGTAAGTAGACGAAAGTTTTGTTTATTTTTTAGTAATTACTTTCGTTTTATTTTAATTAGAAATTTACTATTATCATGAATGGGTTGGTATAAGAAAGAATCTTTATAAAAATATAAATATTATATTAATTTTTGTTGTTTTTCTGCTCTTATTGCCTTGTTAAAGACTTGAATGAAAAAAATATTTAAATCGAATCCTTATATCCTAGATTCCAACTCTGCAATTCTTCATTTCAGTTTCTGCTGAGTGTTAAAAAAGTATTTCAATAAAAATCTAACGTTGACTCGTGTGAATATGTATGTAGGAAAATATTGATTTTATCTCGTTATTATTATTCCCACTGTCTGACTATTGCACAGTGGATATGGGCCGTGAGCTCTGTGGTGCCATCTATTGTCACTTAAATAGCCTTTTCCCTTCTAAACTTTTAAACGAATGTTCAGATACTTTGATTTAAAACGTTGGGCAGGATTATTACATATAAGTATGGCAAACATTATTTTAAAGGTTTTTTGTTTGTTTGTTTGCTGTTAAGCACAAAGTTAAGCAATGGGCTATCTGTGCTCTAGATATCGAAACCCGACTTCTAACGTTGTGAGTTCTCAGACTTACCGCTGAGAACGGAAACAACACTTTTTTAAATACATAGTATGTTTTACAGAAAGAAACATTTCACCTATATCTTCGAATTTTGTAATTCTTTTTATAATACGTAAATGTTTAAGTTACATAACTATAATTATACCCCCACTTAATGTCGTATGAAGTTTTAAAAAAACTGTTACATTTTAGTGGAAAGTCTGTAGTAGTTAGACCAGTGCTTCTCAACTGGGTGAATGGTTCACTCAGGGGTTAATGAGATCAGACTCAGGGTGAATATTATCAATTATACAATAAATTTAAGAACAAAAAAGTCGTTAGTTATTATTATTCATTCTAGTTGTAATTTGATAAATACATTTATGTTGTATTTATTCTAGTTGTAGTTTGATAAATACAATTATTTTATGTTGTATT